CCCAAAAAGCCCTAAACCCTAAACCTTTTTTCTCCTTAACGAGAAGTCAGGTGCTCGAAGTCTCTCGACTCTCCCCTCCCGTTACGGTATCTCACCGCGTAGCCATGGAGGAGTCTCGGTGACAGGCTTCGACCCCAAAAAGCCAAAACGCATAAGTAGGATGTAGTTTTTTTATAAGGGTTTAGGGTTGAGGGGTTTAGAGTTTAGTGCCCTGGCCTGGGATCACCCTAAGTATCAAATAACATGTTTTTCGCATTTTTTGTTTAAGAGGTGTTTCAAGAGTACTTTTTCATGGGGCTTGATAGGGGTTCATGCAGTTCATGGGCCCAAAGGACCTAACGATTAGGTTTCTCGGGTTGAGGATAGCAATTACTTGGGTTACTCTTTGGGAGACTATATGAACCAAAACCTATGAATTACTGGGTCCTTGCGCTCTTACGATCCGGTTCTTCGGCATATGTGGGCGTTGAAAGCTTGGCCCGGGTACGTGGGGTTAAGAGCTTTGGGGTTTTAGAGGGTTTAATGCTTAAGGGCTTCAGGGGCAAAGGGAGCTCGTTCTCTTACCTCTTGAAGTTGATCCAAGGACTTCTCGTGTGAGATTGCCGGCAAGACTTATAATTTCCCCAAAGGTACCAAAGTGGCCATCCCGCTTGTCTTTGCCAACATCGACCAGGACGTTTGGGGCGCGGATGTATGGGAGTTCAATCACAAGAGGCCTGGCTTGGAAAAGAACCATGCAGGCTTCAACTCCGTGGACGGTGTGGGCAACCGAGAATGTCCCGGAAAGAGCCTGGTCATGCGGACAATGGTCCGTATTCTTCAGGACCTTGGCAAGGAGAGGAGGAAGCAGAAGGCAAGTGCATAGAAAAGCTTGCTTCTAGCTTAGTAAACAGAACTGATGGTTGCCGGATTGTCCATCTTACAGCCCCTTACAGCCGTCAGATGGCATCAAGGATTTGGCAATGCCGTATCAGTGTTCAGTATTCCTGCGGCACATGCTTCGCAGCCTAATTCGCGTCGCTCCGATGTGACTGTGTCGCGAAAACTACGCACGAAACCACGACTTGACTCATATGCGTTCTGCGGCCAGAAAAAGACATGTTCTCGCCAAGCAGGTGCTCGAACGGATGTTGAGGCCGGCTTTTTGAGTGAAGATGAAGTTCTTGCAACCTGCCCTCAAGCAAGTCCGAAAGGCCCCAACGTCTCCCAAAACCTGAACGACTATCTATCTATCTATCTGTCTGCCTATCTGTCTATCTATATGTCTATATATACATATATGTATAGAGAGAGAGAGAGAGAGAGAGGATAAAAAAAGCCTGGTTAGTTGCCAATTCTGTTCCTGAGGGTTCCTTGCTATTAATATGCAATACATGTACCCTACAACCCTAGACTGGTTCTTAAGGCCCTCTAGTAATCCTTCACCTTCCGCCCTCCAGCCTAAACTCAAAACACTAAAACCCCCTAAACCGCCAAAACACTTCCAAAACCCTTAACCTAAACCCTCAACCCAAACTCACCCCGAACAGTTTTTCCCGGCTCGGACCGGCCCGGCTGTCTTGGGTTTTAGGCTGTGTGCAAAGGCTCATCCTGGGCCTAAGATCTTGAGTTTAGGGCTTATTGTTCCGGGAAACTTAACTTTTCGGCTTGATGTCTTAGTGGAATTCAAATTACGGATTTAAGGTTTAAGGTTGAGGGATTTAGGGTAAGGTTAGGATTCCGTCGGCCATCAATCGCAAAGAGCCCGAGCCTTAAGTCTCTGTAGGTCGAAGGGTCCTCTAACCCCAGACCCTTAATCCTAAAATCCTAAACCAATAAAGCCTAAACCCTAAAGGCCTAAACCCTAACTGCAATCCACGTGTTGCCTTGCACCCCTAGGCAACATAAGGGCTCCTCCCTGCACACCGTGATACTATCAGTTGTAAGACGAAGAAGAGCAGTCCGATAATCTCCAAACCTCCACATGGAAGGCAGAGGGGAGTTAGCTGCCCGTTTAGGGTTTGGGATTCAGGGTTTAGGGTTTAGCCCGAAAGCCCGTGCCTTCAAGTGCTCTTCTGCCAGGTGAGTTCGAAGGCACGGCCGACGCTGGTCAAGAGGCGGCTGTCGAGATTTCAGGCTCGCTGAGGGCTCCGAGGGTTTTCGGCCTGCGCAGGAAACTTCGAAGCAAACACAAAAAAGTTAAAACAAGCGGAGGAGCTACCCGGTTTTTAAACTATGGTGGTATTCGTCCCTAGGGTTCAAGTTGTGAAGCTTTGCAAGCTAGAGGAGACCTGTCAATGTTCGAATGAACCTGACCGGACAGGGGTCCATGAAGTCCGGCTGCAGAGCTTCAACACTTTAAAGGTCTTGCTGGTCTTTAGCTTACCCTAAACCCTAAACCCCTAAACCCTAAACCCTTCATTATGAACTGTAATTTTTGTTTGAAGAAGTTTCCGTTCATTAGAGGTCACGACTTCAAGGTCCTGCCCTGCCATCCTGCGGCGCCATTTTTTCCAAGACCCTCATCCGAAGCTGGCCAGAGCTCCTAGCAGGTTCTCCATCACTACGGACCTAAGCCCCTAAACCAGAGACTGAGGAATCCATAACTGGATGGCCCCGCAGTCATGCAACTCTGAATAGAATCCTGTTGCAGCCATAACGGCCATAACTTCTTGGTTTAGGTGCATGGCGGGATAACTTGGATCTGTATGTTACTAAATCGACCTTAAGCTTCAAGCCCCCGACTCCCCAACTCCCACACCCTACAAAGATCTGAACTCCATGGACCTTCTAATTTCATGCTGAAGTAGGATGAAGATGACCAGGACTGGCAACTGTTATTGGTCTAGGAGTTTCGAATTTGCAGCATGTTGGGGGCTGTGGTGTTATTTCTGACAGAACTGGGGGAGAAGTTAAGGTGTTCCTGGGCCTTGCAAGGCCTACCTCATTTGGAGCTATATGAAGAAAAATATGAAGAAACATATTTTTAGTATTATTAATATTATTGTCTCCATCATTATATTTGATATTATTCATATTCTTATATTTTCTATATTTCCGATTCTTATTTCTTAATTTAAGTAAATATTGAAGAATTAAATTCTTTTCGAGAATTTGTAATACGATGAATTCTTAAATTCAAATATTTTCTGGAATTTATTGGAATTTTTTTATGCTTGATTATATATATTTATTTCTTATATTGGGGATTTGAATTTATGATTAGAATTTTTTTGATTATGGTCTAAGATAAGATATTTTTCTATTAGGTAAAGATAAAGAATAAGTTCGATAATAATTAAATTGCTAATATTAATCTAATTAAATTAGTATTATTATGATGAAATATAAAAAATAGATTATATAATTTTATATGCTTTTGTTTATGAATAGAAAATGAGAAATTTAAGTATAATATATTATATCGTGCATTCTGATTTTGATCGAATATTTTAATGATAAGGGTTTGGGATTTCGCGTGGTCGGGTTTAGGGACCTTAAATCCGAACACATTGAAACTCTTAAAATCATAAATGATAATAAATTAATATCGATACTCTCAAAGATTTGATTAATTTAGACATAGATATATAAGATAATTTGATTTTTCTGATATTATAGGCATAGTCTACTAAAAGAAAGCAACTTCGAAAATTGAATTGATTGATAAGAAATATTTTAAAAAGAAAAAAAAATATATATATATTGAATAATTCTCTAAATTAGTAAACAAAAGTTTATTTAATTGAAAAATAAAAGACGTTATATATTTGTCATTATGAGATTTTCGATTTTAATGGATTTTTTTTATGATTTCTAATTGTGGGTCGTCCGAAAAATTTAAAAAATTTCTTTAATAATTTTGAGATGATTTATTTTGAGAATTTTAATTCATAATTGTTTTTCGGAAAATATTGAATATCTTGAATATATTGAAAATTCTTATTTAAAAAATTATATATATGTAGAAATGGGACAATTTGAATATATTAAAGTTATAAAGTCGAGACAGCTGATTAAAATTGCAAGATCTTATATTAAAAAAAAATTGGGATAATAGCAGCTTACATTTAATTGTGAATATTTAAGAAACTAATGTTCTGTTTGGATCTGATATATGGGCACGGTTTTATATGAAAAGATCGAGAAAATTATGTACGACCGAATTACTTGACGTATTAGAGATTTTCAAGAGATTAATATATTATCTAATTATTAATTAAAAAAGAGATATTAATTTGAAGAAACTTCAAGGTCTCCGGGAGGGCTTACACGGCAAGCATTTTGGCACGGATCGCACAACGAAATGATCTTGTAAGTGATTATATTCAAGAAGCTTAGCTTATTGCTTAGGTTCGAACACATATGCTGTAGTGATGCAGTACGTATACTATCTTGAGTATCAACACTCAAGTACACTGCCACATCTTCAACACTCCTCCTTGAGTTCTTCCTTCGGAAGCAGCTCACACTTTACATAAGTGATGAGGGAAGGCGTCGTGGTGCGACCAATGCTCCACAGTGGCCACTCATATACAGACAAGCAGCCAGATCGATTTATAGCGGTACTGTATTTTTAGACATCGTCGCGACTTTTGCGGGTTTAGTCGAAACCCCTTTTCATCCGTATTTCCAAAGCACTACCCTTCACCGTGTAGTCGTTCTTAAAGGAACTCGATTCCCATAGTAGCTGCAGTACTCTGTCTGAAACACCGATCTAGTATTTCTCAATCCGTGGCAGTCTCTATTGGTGTGGACCTTCGATCGATGGTCCGTCGTTTTCCAGAACTACGTAATAGGAACGTCTGCCGGGATCGGCATTGGTATGTCTCTATAGATTGTACGCATCTCCGCTCTTGGCTCTGGCATCGGGGGTGTCTGAGTCGCAACATTTCTCGGAGATGTCGTCGGTGAGGTGGAGTCGTTGGCGATGGCTCTTGAGGGTCTCCTCAACGATCCGGCTTCGGTTTCCAGCTCCCTTCGGAGTTGTTGCTTGTCTAGCTCCTCCTCAGTAGCGCTTCTTACAACTTCACGTAGTCGCCGTAGGCGTCGCTCCTTTGGAGTTTCATCTCTCAGACACAAAGTCATTTTTTGATCTTCTTTCCCAACTCCCAAAGACCCACTGCTGCAACACACACCACAAGCGTTGCCAAAAGAAGCTCATTGAAGCCAACCAATGGAATATCCTGTGAAATTTGCGCCGGTTGAACTTGTAGAGCCACAATTATTCACAGCAAGCAAGTTAATTTCACACGATCACCCAGTCGCATCTTCAAAAGGCCAATGAAGCCCCGCAGGAACATGAGTTCATTCATTCTCTCCTTGCAGTGCAGCTTCGTTGGCATATCAGCCAGTTGCCTCTGTCCGCATATATATTTCACTGCCAGGGTGTCATGCTTGACGAAGTCGGTGATGAAAGCGCACCTCACCTTTAAATGCTTTGTTCTCCACGATTTTTGACAGCCTGAGATCAAGGACACTGCTGCAACGCTGTCCACCAACAATGATTGTGGTACTTGAGTGCCGATGATCTCCTGTACCAACGCTGCAATTCCTTGCAGAAGTAGGGTGGCCTGGGCAGCTTCATATAACTCTGCTTCAGCAACCGACATCGTAGTAAAAGCTTGATGTCCGCACCTCCAGTTCACCACTGAACCATTCAGGGCAATTACTGAAGCGCCGTACGATCTTCTATCAAAAGGTGCAAACGATGCGTCGCTATAACCCGTAAGACCCAACCCTTCACCTTGCTGTATTGCTGCTGGGTGGGCTGTCGGGTGCTGGTTCTTAACAGCTGCTGGCTATAACTGCTTTGCGGCTTGCGCATGCTCTGGAGGCACCCGATGTCCTCCAAGTTGTAGCTGCACCTCCAAAATTGAGGCCAAATACGCCATAACCTTCAAATCCACCCGGTACACGTGGTATGGTCGTTTCGAAAGCGCTGATGCCATCATCGAAGTCACGAACAGGATATCTGGTCTCGAACGAGTTACCCAGAGAAGTTCTCCCGTAAGCTTCTGAGCTTTCTTCAGCTCCGACTCAGTGTACTGCTCGTCTTCGGCCGGGCCATCCTCATTGACCAACCACTCTCGAGGGCATGGTAGGCGGACATAGGATCCAGGCTCTAGATCATAGCTTCTCATCAAATTCTCCAGGTAGCCACGCTGTGAAATCAAAAAGAAGCCTTCTTCCTTCTCCAAGATCTCCCAACCAAGGTACTTGGTGTCTTCCTTGGTCCATTCCAAGGGAGCGCTCGGCCATTCTTCACCTAGCCATGAATGCACGGTAGTGATCACGGTGGGCTCGGCGAGGTAGAGCAAGTCGTCGACGTAGGTAACAAGGACTCCCACAAACGTGTCCTGCTCGCCATCGACCTTGTAGATAATCATCCACACTTCGGGATCAACAACGGAAGGCTTGAGAACAAGCCTGCCATTGGACCAAGGAAAATCGGCTTGTAACAATCGCTATCGTCGATACTCGCTCCATACCGCTGGACTTTCCCGTAGCACATAAAGGGCTCGCTGCACTTCCCATGCTTCCTCACTGGAAGCTAGTCCAGCAAGGATCAAAGTCTTGGCCGGGATAATGGAGTACCTTCGAAGGTGCTTTGGCCACGGGGCCAGCAAAAAAGCTGTTATTATATCTGACCCAGCGCCTGTCCACGAGCAGCAGGATACAAGGGTGAGTGCTACCCTCAGGGACTCAGAAATGACCCCGGAGGTATAGAGCTCGGACTGATCTTGGCCATTTGGACGTTCAGCGAAATTTCCATAAAGCACGAGCCTGTATTTCCGCCTCCATCGTTCACATTTCCCATCCTTGGTAGTAGAGCTCGAGGTCTTGCTTTGCGATGGGGGCTTAATTACAAATACAAGCTTGCTGGGGAAGATTATAAGTTCTCCACTGGCTTCTCGTCTTTTCGCCTCGCTCACAGGGATTCGCTTCAGTGTCCCGTTCTCGCCGTCCTTGAAGAGGGCGGAGAGCTCCTTGTCGATCGCCGGGACCCAAAGAGGTAGGTTGCGCTTCACCTGTTCTAGGGGTACCGTCAATACCACCTATAGGTCACCTTCAAGTTCTTGTAGATGTTTTTCCACATCCTCCAATGCCTCCCCTTCTTGAGCTGGCATCGCCGTCTTTAGCCACTTGTGCTCTTGAACATCCTCCAACTGCTTCATGGTGTCGCCCGTCTGCTCGATCATGTCAACCAACATCTGGTGCGCATGGTCCGATTCGTCATTCATTTGGTGTCCCTTTTTTCGGTACTCTTCCAGCAACATCTCTTCTTCTTCCAATAGTCGTCGAAGGGTAAGTGCTCTGTCTTGTAGCTCATTAATTAGATCCTGCTGGTCCTCGATCAAATGAGACACCGACGAAGCCCACTCATCTTTCTCATCCTCCTCCTCAATCTCGTCTCCAGGAGGATCCAACATGGACCCCTCTGGGTTCTCTTCTACATGTGTTGCCTTGAGCGTAGGGGTCGTACCCGAGGTAGGGTTCGATAACAACATAGACAGGTTGAACCCCAGGTTCTTCAGCTCATTGGCACTCTCAGGGGCCATATGGCTAAGTCGGGATATGTAGGTAAGCAGCACAACGCGCTGCCCATTCCAAGGCTTAGTGCTGTGCCATTGCCCCGGTGGAAAGCTCCCAGTTCTTCCTTTCTCCAAAGTATGAGGAGAACCTCGGACCCATAAGTCCGGCCGCACTTATTTCCACTCATTATTATACTGAAATTCTCCCTCACTTTTCTCCACCCATATCTGGCCTTCTTCAAAGTTCGTGAGGGCTGTGATGGAATTCCAGGTCGAGTGGTCGTTGTGGCTGTCCTTATGGGCCTTCATCCCAATATTCTCCATAATAGCTACGCAACCGAACTCACTCTTGCCCGTGAGCTCTTTGGCAGCCTTTACCAAATACATTGTAGTGCTCGGCAATCTCCGGGTCATCTTCATGACTACGCAAACTCCTTCATAGACATAGCTACCGGGGTAGAAGGACTCCGCCTTTAACCCGATGTCTGTCATCTTCAAACCTCTCCTCCTCGGCCTTGGCAGCTCTTTCAGCATTGTCCACAGGCTGAGGACATCTTCCTCATGATAAGACTCTGTATCTATCAATTCCCGGGCGTAGGCTTCAACCTCGTTGTAGCGGTCGTGGAGGGCTGCCAAATGAATCTTCTCTCTAAGTCTCTTGCTTGGAACTGGTAGTTCAACTTCCACGGGCTCTGCGTCCATAATGGCATCCGACTCCACCAAACCTGGTCTCACGTGACAGCTCGTCACGAAAGTCCCATCCTCATATCTGACAACCAAGCCATTGGTTACATCCGAACTACGTCCAACAAACTTCCCCTCACGTCACCTAGGATCCAAGTCATAGGAACCTCCGGTGCCAAAGACCTTTGACTTCACGGCCACTTTTGCTCCAAAGGGAGGGTCGTTGTAGGGTTGCCCAAGTGTGCGTTATCGTTGTCTGTGTGCCGCGTAGGACATTATTAGCGGCCAATATTCTCGTGGTAGGCCTCCAGCATCAAATAGGACCTTCGCATATCGCTTTAGCAGCTTGACAGCCGCTTCTGCCCTTCCATTTTGCTGTGGCGTTTACGACTCGCCGATGATGACCCATATATCCTTCTCATACAACCACTGCCGTAGAGACGCAGAGTTCAACTCCCTGGCCCGGTCTGAATGAACACGAACCACTGGATATCCCTCTTGCCGAAGGGTCAAATATAGTCTTCTTATTGCCGCATTCACATCAGTCTTCAGTCTGGATTTGAAGGGAATCACGTAGAGGAGGCTCTAATATTCCATGGAGTCACCGACCTCCTCGTACCTCTCTTTGTAAAATTTCTTGTAGTCTTCGTTCTGACGATCTAGATCACATGCTGATCTTCCATGGAATTGGGTGGTTCCGTGGCTCCCTCCTCCTCAAGAAACCTTTTTCTTCATCCATAATCTCAGCAACATCAGCACCAATATCCTCAGTGTCCTCTGGTATGTCCATATCCTTGTAACCCTCAACCTTCGGTAAATAATAAGAACCCACCAAAGCATAGCGGTACTTGCCATCGGTATCGACGCCCTTGGTTCTGAGGGGCCCTACAATGTCCACGCCAAGGGTGAAGGCCGACGGATTAAGAACCCGTCGGTGAGGTCGTCCTGTACCAGAGTTGAACACACACGGTCGGTAGCGTTTGTCAAACGGAACATGTCCATTACGAACATTTCTTCAACTCGGCTTCGCTCATATCACTCAAATTTCCATTCATTACACACAGCAACTGGGCCATTCGGAACTGATCTGGATGCTTGAACCATTGTCCAATCGCCTCTGTAATTTCATTCACGAGGGCCTCGGTCCATTGCGAAGGTGATCCCTTGCTTGATGGCGTAGTCCGGGTAAAGAACATGTTGATTGCCTCGTAGAAATCTTTGCTGTCGCCTTAGCCCGCCTTGACATTGAATAGTTGGTACTCATCCTTGAGCTCTTTCCACTCCTCGGTTGTCCACCAGCTGTTGCTCTCAGGGAGCTCCATGAACACAAAGGGTTTGCGCAGGCCATCCTTCTTCGCTCCTTTCTCGGCTACCATCCACAAATACATCAATTTCTTCTTCAGCTCGTCCTGATCATCACGAGGTGGTCCTCCGACAACTCCTTCAATCTGTCTTCTGCAAGCCGCCCACAAGAGGGCCCACATCACGTTGTTCCAGCCCTTCATATTGAAGATTTTTGAGCGCTGTAGATCAATCTCCAGCACTGTAATCGTCTCAGACTCCAACTGCCTCAAGGTAGTTACTGCCATCTGGTTCTTGCCATCATAAAGATGGACAATCCATCTGGTTTGATACAATCTGGTCCTTCTATTCACGGGAAAGGCCTTCAGGTCGGTCTCGTCACTCAAGTCTAAGTCGGTGGGTCCAGCAAACGAGAACCTGTCGGAGGCCGTACTCAGCATCAAAGGGAAAACCGGATCTATCATGGCCGACCGAGCTTGCGACTTCCTTCCAGTCGCAACGTAATTGTCCAGATTGGTCTCCCACGTCAAACTTGTAGGTGCCAGCTGATTCCAAAGGCCTTTAGCAGTGGCCTCACGAAGTTGAGCAAGGTTCCTCTCCTCTATCTCAGAGATGAGCTTCAATGCCTGCAACTCGTCGATCATCGGACAGTTCCCGTGTATCCTCACTGTAATGTCCCTGTGTATTGGGTGGTTGACCTTTAGGCCTTGTCGTCGCGACCAACTCACTGTGCAGCCTAACTGCTGCACCAAGCTTCCCAACGGGACAATCGGCGACTGGTCCGGGGCACGGTCGTTGAGGAGGGTGCCTGTCTTTGTCTGAAGAAGATCGATTTTCTGCCCGTCGGCGAGTTCAACCGACACAGCCTTCGCTTGTTGTAGTTCAAGTTCGTTGGCAGCTTGCGAAAGGGATGCGAAGCTCCACTGTCTAATAGGGCCAGCCTTTCATTAGTCGCTCCCGCCGCAAGGAAGAAGAGCTCGAGGTCTTCCCTTGACGAGTTCACGCCATTAACCTTCATGCCCATTAACTTGATCTTGCTCAACATCGAATTGGCCTCTTGTAACAGCTGCCTCATCTCTTTTCGATGTGCTGCGGCTTCGTCGCTTGTAGTGGTAGAAGTCCCGCTGGTAGTAGATGCCATTGTTCCACCGTCGTTCTTGTCCTCTGCTGTTCCAGTAGTAGCACGTGGTTCGGCCTCCAAAGGTTGGGCTCTGGCAAGTGACGAACTCGCTGGGGCACTCGAGGTTGTAGTGGATGTTGAGGTTGACCTACTTGGTTTGCCCTTCCCCTTCCCTCCAGCTCCAGTAGTAGGGCAATCAGATTGCCTGTGGTTTGTCGCGCCACAGGTCCAGCACCTCTGCTTTCGGTCCGCCTTGGAGCTGAACTCATGGATGTAGGGGCACGAACTTCCCCGCTTGCACCCATTGTCAGACGTGAAGAACTTGCATGGTCCTTTGGATCTGGTAGGGGAACCCGGCGTCGAGGTTGAGCCACCTGTCCCTGCCTCAGTTGTTGTTGCGCCCTTCAGTCTTGTAGATTCAGTTTGCCGTTTGGGGGATGGCGCGACCTGCTGAAGTTCGGCGAGGGCGTGCTGGTAGTACTTGAGGACGGACTCCTGTGTCGGTGCTGACGACAACCTCAAATCATTCCGGGCTAAATCCAACCTGAACTTCACCTCCGGGAACTTTTCGAAGACTTTCTGTAGAGTGAGATCTAACCCTTTCAACAAAATGCTAGCGTCCGGAGCCATAATGCCCATCTCGTCTGCCCTGGCCAGGTACCTCCTCCATTTTCGTAGTCTAGCAACCACTTCAGCTGGCTCATCTGTGCCACTAGAGCCACCAAGGCGTCCAAGAATGTCAAGAATGGCTGTCCTTTCAGCCGTTCCGCCCGGCTGATATAGAACATGCAGTCTGTAGAAGACCGACGTCACGTTCTCAACTTTGTGGGTGATCGTGTCTTCCTTCACACCTCGAGGCATGGCCCCAAATAGCAGGGTTAAGACCCGGCGTTCCAACCTGTCCCACTTCTTGTCCCGCAGGGTCTCCGTGAGCACTGGCACGATGGTCACCCTATCCATCGCCGAGGCCCGCTGGTAACGATCGTAGGCCTCTCTTGCGCATCGAAGGCTCTCACTGAGCCACGTACTCGCACTGTCCGTAAGTGCTCCAAGCATCTGCTCCGCCACGTAGAGCCAATCATTGGTTTCCACCGCCGCATCTCCGAGCTCCGGCATGGGGGGTAGCTCAATGTTGCCCTTCATCGTCTCCGTCTCTGGAGTGTCCTTCTTGGAAATTTGCAGCTGCTGGAGCTGCCTGATGCCCTGCACCAACAAGTGCAGGTGTCCTACCATAGCGTCCTCATCATTCACGACCTTGGTCTGGTTCTGCTCGTCTCCACCTTGAATAGACGAAGTTCCTCCAGTCCTAGAGTCGACACCGAACGGCTCCGGAACAGACTTATGACTGTCCACTTGACCGACGTCACGCTCTCCAAGATTGCCTCCGGTCTGTGCACTATAGACACCCGCACTCGGCACAGGTGGATTCTGTTGCCCAACTCCATCAAGCGACCTTGGATGATTAGATAGCCCTGGTGACATTCGAACCTGCCCACCAGATACCTGAGATTGCACTGGAAGTCCATCTGGAGCCCGAACATATTCCGAGCCTCCTTGCCCTCCATGTACCTGAGATTGCACTGGAAGTCCATGGGGAGCCCGAACATATTCCGAACCACCCTGCCCTCCATGTACCTGAGGTTGCACTGGAAGTCCATGGGGAGCCCGAATATATTTCGAACCAACTTGCCCTCCATGTACCTGAGATTGCACTGGAAATCCATTGGGAGCCCGAACATATTCCGAACCACCTTGCCCTCCAACTTCCTGTGACTAAAAAAGACGCCCCAGAGCACCAGCCAGGTTCAACCCTTCCCCGACTTCATTGTCACTGTTCCTTAGTGTGGTGCCAGGTCATCAGGTCGATTCGCATCAGGCTGGCATCCGGCATCAATGAACTGTATCACCAGTTCCCTGAGCTGCTGATTCTCCTCTTCAAGCTTCTTCGTTGTGTTCTCTCGCTCTTCTAGTGCAAGCCGTACCTGTCTTTTTACCTCCTCTGCCACAGCCTCCTGATTGATGGAACCACTTGAGGATTCTTCCCCTACTGCTCTACGAGGCTTCGGAGTGAGCAGAGAGGGCCTTGTTGTCCATGAAGTCATAGCTTGCCTCAAGTCGGGGCTCATCAAGGGAGGGGCAGCTTCCGTAGGTGTCGTTGGTTGCGAGTGCCACACAGATGTAGGGGAAGCTTCTGGGGGTTCCAAGGCGGGGAACTCCTGCTGCTTGTACTTGCTCCATCACTGGGCTTACGACACGCCTCTAAAGAACCTCACTGACCCGAGTCCACCATATAGGGACACGTTGTTGTCCTCGCTGACCGTGAACATTACGCAAACCGGGAGGGTCAGCTCCTCGTACGTGTTCCACCGTCATCTCTCTCCGAAGTTCCACTTGTGCAACTGCGCTCTGCTACATCAAACTCTCACGTGCTCTCTGCTGAACCAACTCTAACACCGAGGGGGCTCCCAAGCGCTGTTCTGTCGAGGCTTCTTGCTGTTCCTGCATCTACTGGGGCTGTTGTGGTGCTGGTGAGGGTTGCTGCTCATCAACCGTAACCTCCCTAGTCCCAACCCTAGACATCGTTGCAGATTCAACCGTCGTAACGCGCTCACCTGATCCGGTTGCCCTTTGCAGAGGGACTTCTTCGGCAATTCCTGCAGGGTTCGCGGAGTTCGAGGAGGTAGTCGCCGTGGGTTCCCTTGCCACTCCGTTAAGCAGCGGCTCTGGTCTCGCAGCTTGTTGCTCTGAACCTACTGTTCCATAATTCGATCCGGATGCCTCGCCTTCCAGAGTGCTAGGCCTTCTAGCTTGCTGCCTTTCACATAATTGGGCGCTCATAACCTGAAGAAATTTCAAGGTCTCCGGGAGGGCTTACACGGCAAATATCATGGCACGGATCGCACACCGAATTTTCACTGCACAACGAAATAATCTTGTTGCAAGTGCCTATGTTCAAGAACCTTAGCTTATTGCCTAGGTTCGAACGCACATGCTGAAGTAATGCAGTACGTATGCTGTCTTGAGCATCAACACTCAAGTACGCTGCCACATCTTCAACATAATTCTAATATTCTTGATTTCTTAGCCAATATTTTCATAATTTCTTTGCCAAAAGCCACATCTCATCTTCATGAAATTCTTATTATAAAGACTTGATCTCGATATGAAATTTAATATTAAATATCAATAAGACTTCTAGATATGAAAACTCTATTCTTAACAACAACATCTATTAGAAAATATTTGATATATCATAAGAATTGAATTCTATTTTAATTAATTATATGAATTTTTCTAATAAAAACTTGACCTGAAATTAAACTCAGAATCTTCGATTCTAAAGATCTGGCATAATCCAATATCACAGAAAAAATATTATAATTAATAAGCTAATTATATCTAACGTTCAAAATCAAGCGATAAATAAATATAGATTCTTAACCTATCGCCCACGCCTAATATGCTTGCTCTCATAAGAATAATAACGATTCAAAATAAGAAATCGTAATATATAGAAATCAAAAAATATATATAACCGAATATAAAAAGAAATTATATTTCTAAAATACGCCCTTAGAATCCTTGCCAGAAAATAACAGAATTTTATTCTAATACGAATATCATCTCAAACTTTTATATTTTTTTCTCGTAATTATGCTTTATTCAAAAATATAATCTAATTTTAATTATTTCTTATTCTCTAGAAATTCGATTTTTATTCAAATATATTTTTTAAATATCTAATATAGAAATTAAGAGCTTTTATAATTATTAATATAGAAGAAATATATAATTTTAATAGAAAATATATCGCAACCTAAATAAAATAGAAAAGTCTTCTAACATAGAAATATTCGAAAATTATTTCTAAGAACCGATCATAAAAAATCAAGAATGGCAGATCTTAGAAATATCCAATAAATATAAATCGAATATAATTCGATTATAGAATTCATATTTATTCCATAACAAAAGATGCCTTTTCAATCTAATCTATCTAATCTAATTCAGAAATAATTCTATCAAGAATATGAAATTATTATTTAGAAATATACAAAATCTTTATTAGATTTCATTTAATATTTCGGAAATTACTAATAAAAAAATCATAGATATCAAAATTTTCAATATTATATATAATAATACGAAATTATATATAGAGAATCTATTATCTCTTTTTTGAAAAATTATATAATATTTTTTGTTTAGAATATCTATTATCTTTTCTTTTGGAGAAGAAATTATATATATTTTGATTTTGCAAAATATTCATAGCTTATATATCTCCTCCATATATATATATATAAGATAAAAATCTTAAAAAATATAGTTTCAAATTAATTTCGATCGAAGAATGACGAAATCTAATTCGAAATAATTATTGTAAAAAAAGAATATTTTCTTATTTCTTAAATCTAGAAAATCTTTAAGAAATAGATTAATATCTAAAGAATATTCTTAATTGAATATAATCGGGTAATATTGCATAGATTAGTCGTTAAATTTCCCAATCAACAAGATCTGTTCTGTGGTAGATGTCAATCTTATTCAAGAAATTCGGTGGTTCAAGGATAAATAGATGGTTTGCAATAAGTCATATAAGAATCCGCATATTCGATCCGCTCCATTTGTCTGTTTTGAAGTAACTACCAACCTTCTGCAGAAACCAGGCTAAGTGTGCGATGCTGTCGACCTTTCTGGTAAATCGGAATAACATCGGGTGCGTGTGAATAACTAAAGCTGCTGAAATTTCGATCCCCAACCTTCAACTACATGGCCGTTAACATGGCACTACTCTGACTCCCTCCAGGTCACCACCAGTGCCGTGAGATTGTCGTCGCTGGCTGCCTCCGAATAAGTTTGAATTTGGGGTTGAGGGTTCTTGGCTTAGGGTTTGGGTGTATGGTCTTCGGCCTAGTGGCTCGAGGTTGGCAGTTCGGAACGTCTACAGAAAAATCGGAGACACCATTTAATGATGACTTTTGTATGGCTGCGGCAATGATTGTTCATTGATGAACAGCGAAGACGACGAAGAACCCAGGCTTCGGGGTTGGCGTTCAGTGCTTTGGGTTTAGTGTTTCTTTTTGTATTACGGGCTGGTTTGAGATGCAGTTGATAACTAAGTGGCGGCAGACTGCTGCCGTGCTTGCCGATGACCATGAATGGCATCACACTTCATGTAGGAAAACTAAGCCAACTACGCCCCCAGCCAAAACTAAAACTACACCTACAAAATCAACATGCTAAACACTAAACCGTCCACCTCCAACCCGTAACACATGAACAACTGCAAACTGATCTCGACGTAAAACGCCCATCTACCGGACCACGTCGGGACACAAGGGTGTTTCCAGTCCGGGGAACCTCCAGTAGCAAGCAGAAACGCAAAACGACGGCGGCGAAATTCAACCAAACACGACGCGCACACTCACAGACACAATGAGAACATCTGAGAACTCAGGAGCATGGCAAAAACACAAGAAATGAACCACACTCCCAGAGAACCCAAACATTTCGAAGAGCATGAGATTAAATAGTCCAAACAAACAGAAGAGACTTGCAGAAAATTCGCGAACCCCTGCCCCAACATCCAGTAAAACTTCGAACAACAATCCAAAGCATGCAAAAGCATTGAAACGATCGCACAACACAAAACACGAAACTCGAAATCCGTGAAGACAGACAAGAAACAACCACTACATCAAACAACGCCTCTCAAAAACGACGAACAGGCGGGCAAAAGCAAAGCCGAATCGAACCCACATCTAGTCCCTGATGTGCTTCCATGGAATATGCACCGTCTAGGTCTGACTTCAATCCACGGAAGCGGCAGTTTTGGGATTCTTCGTCTGCACCCGCTTCCGAGTTGCTTGTAACTGCGATGTCAGGTGCTGCTGATCTTTGCTTTGTCCTCATCCCGAATGAACAGCCGCCCGGGCAAGCCTTTCTCAAGAAGTTGCCACATGAATCTGGTGCTGAGGGTGTGTCAGATGTGTGTGAAGGAAAAAACATACCACAGAAGTCAGTTCGACTTCAAGCAACACCTGAAATTGAGTTGCTGGATTGCTTTTTTCGGTTTCTGCTCTGCTCGAGGGCTTTGGGAAGGCATCCTAGCAACCGACAACATATCGAATCATACCGAACGAAGCGGATTTAGGGTTTAAGGTGTTGGGTTTGCGGTTTGGGGCTTAGGGTTTAGGGTTTAAATTTAAGGTGTTGGGCTTGCGGTTTGGGGCTTTGGGTTTAGGGTTTAAATTTAAGGTGTTGGGCTTGCGGTTTGGGGCTTTGGGTTAATATTTCGAGCGATGTCACATAATGGCATCCTCAGCGGACCGCCCAACAACCCAAGAAAGGACACTGAAGGCACCGAAGACCTCGAACCGTCAAGTCAGGGTTCAAGGTCTCTGGCAGTCTCTCGTGGCCAACCAAACCCAAAGCCCTGAACCCTAAACTCGGAATCCGAAATCCGATGGACCCTAAGCCCTAAACCCTGGACTGTGAATCCGAAATCCTAAGGAGTTTGCGGACATCGGCTGCAAGTTCGGCAAAGGGGCAGCAAAGGAACGCTTCACCAGAGCCATCGCAGCATCTGGTGCCCCGGCCTGGTAGTTCGGTGGCCCAAAGAACTTCTGTGAATGCAAAGATTCTAGGGTTTCGGGTTTAGGGGTTCAAAGTTCTCAGCCCTCTGCAAGCCCTAACGCCGAAAGTGTAGAATGCAGGGTTTAGGGTTCTAAGTTCTAAGCTCCGAGTTTAGGGTATAGGCTTCAACTTGCAAGGATTTTTGGGAGGAAAGAAGGCGAAGCCTCATTCAAAAAGGACTTTCCCTGCAGCCACGACATTTTCCATATTAGTCCTTCCATCTGAAGTAGGGCTTAGGGTTTAGGGTTTAGGGGTTTAGGGTAGGGCTTTAATAGCAGTCCCCGTCATTTGGAGCATGCTTCCACGTTCCCAGTTCCGCGCGCCAGTCTTGGCACGCCCCTGCCCTTGGATGATGTGCCTAGAGACTCCAATATCCCTTAATTAAGGAATATACCGTAAATCATATTAGGGATCCTGCTATAATTTAAGGAATATTCCTTAAGTAAGGGATATAG